CTAAGGTCCCTCTCACCTCTGACATTCCCTGTTCTAAGACCCCTGCCAGTATTGATAGCTCCTATTCTAATATTGCTCTCAGTCCTGACATTTCCTTGCTCTGACATTCCTTTCTGAGGCCCCTGCCATCACTGATATTCTCTGTTCTAAAATTCTTATTATCTCTGATAGTCTATGATTCTCTAAATCCTTTACTAGGTTCAGAAGGATCAGGGAAACCAGCAGGGTCTACCAACAGACACTTTTCAAAGAAAGTCAAGACTCTTTCATGCTTTTCCCACCCCCCCACCCACCCCCAAATTAAAATGTGCCTCCAGTATAACTTGTTATCAAAAATAGAAGCATTTTATCTATCTTTATTGCAGAACAGAGATTGCATGGAGACATTCAATTTGGAGTCAATTTAAATTTCAATTGTCTGTGAAATCAAATCAATAGGCTATAGTTCAATGGCGCTTTAATAAAACAGGACATAACGGAGAAATCATTAGGGATTACATATGATAAGAGATTGGAAACAGTGCCTGGGTAATGGGGGAGGGCCCATTACAGATTTACCCCAAGCGTTTGCAAGTAAACCAAAGGCCTTCTCCTCCTCCTGAGACTGCCCTGAGATTTAATTGTCTGCCAAGCCTAAAAACACATCTCTGTCAGGGCCGTTTTTGGGAGACAATTTACAGTGAGTGACACAGGCTTGCAGAGACCAGGCCCCATTGGGATGTGCCAGTCCTAGCTTCTGATCCAATTCTCTCTCTCTCTCTCTCTCTCTCTCTCTCTCTCTCTCTCTCTCTCTCTCTCTCTCTCTCTCTCTCTCTCTCTCTCTCTCCCTCTCTCTCTCATTCCTTCCTTTTTTCTTCCCTTCCTTCATTTCTTTCCTTCTTTGTTTCATTCTTTCTTCTTTCTTCCTTCCTTCTTTTTTCCTTTTCCTTTCTCCCTTTCTCTTCCATGCAGATTTTTTGCTTACACCTATCCAGCCCATCAGCTTCTTGAGGTCTCTGACTCTCATGGCAAAGATACAGAGACAGCTAAGATCAAGAAGAGGTAGACTAGGGGGCTGGAATGCTGAGCTTATAAAAACAGTGAGATGGAGGAGATGAGCCTAAGGAGGAAATCAACCATTCTTTGAGTCATTCATAAGATCATAGCTTTTTAGATCTGGAAGGGTCCTCAGAGATCATCTAGTCCATGTTCCTCATTTTACAGAAAAAGAAACTGAGGCTCATTGAGGTGAAGTGAGATGTCTAGGGTCACACAGGTAGCAAGTAATAGAAACACTCTCAACAAAGTCATTAAATGGTCATTATTCCCCTTCAAGATGTATTTGGACCAAACTGGCCTTCTTCCCATTCCTTACCCATAACATTCTGTTTCCCATCTCTGCACCTTTGTCCAGGCCATTCACCACCTTTACTTCTTAGAATTCTTTGATGCCTTTGTAAGATGCATCTGCCCATATGGGATATGCACATCCACATAAGTCATCTGAATAAGGCTTACAAGAAGCATTGATAGCTGTATATGAAATCTTACTCACACTCTTCTCCAAGGGAGACTTTGATTTTGAAGGGGTACCTTGGTGGGAGCAGGAGAAAAGCCAAAATGCTAGATGATCTTTCCTCCAGTCAATTATCGGGTACTGGCCTAGAATTGTAACTGTTTGCTCCCCTAAGTATCATGAGTCTAGGGGCACAAAAAAATTCTCTGTCACCAGTCCTTAGCTAATGCTTGCCAGTTTGGCTTCTTCCCACCAAATGCTAGTTACACAAGACCATCACAAATAGCAAATCCATTTATATAAACAAAAAGCAAATAGAAATTAGAAAAAACTACAGATTAGCATATAGTAGAAAATACACAAAAGTAAATGAACTCTTTAGATAGCAGCAAAGTAAGATCTCAGCTCAACTAAGGGGAAATTCCCTGAAATTTCTAGCAAGTATGTTGGAAAATCAAAGACATGTTGAACCAGCTTCCTCTGCATATCTGCAATTCTCTTCTCTCTCTCTCTCTCTCTCTCTCTCTCTCTCTCTCTCTCTCTCTCTCTCTCTCTCTCTCTCTCTCTTTCTCTCTCTCTTTAAGAGAATCTGGCATCATGATTGTGCTCATATCCCTCCCTCCAAAGCTCTGGAACCAACTCCACCTCTCACTCAGTTTTTGAGCTTTGAATGTGAAATCACTCCTAAGTAGCAACATGCAAAATGCCCCCAGAGTAGAAACCTGTTTTACACTTTCAAAGTCCAACTCACAAGCCACCTTCTACACCTTATCCTCCCCAACTTCTAGTAAAGTACCTCCCAAAAATCACCAGTGTGGATGGGTGGATGGATGGATGGATGGATAAGTATTTATTTAGTACTTATGTGCTAGGCACAGGGGATACAAGTAGAAAAAGAAGTTCATCCCTACTTTCAAGGAGCTGACCCTCTATGGTAGGGGAGATAGCCCCCAAAAGAGAGGGCAACTTCAAGGCCAGTGGATGGTCCCAGAAGACTTAAGGGTGCCTCTCTAGTGTGTATGAAAAGGCCCAGGGACCCTGCAGGTGCATTGGCTGTTCATATTGGAGTCCTTCAAAGGTGTTACATACAGCAGGGAAGTTGACAAGACTTGGAGGTCCTTCATCTTACTGAAAGGATTATAATTGGTGACTCCTTGCTCCTCCAAACATGTGAACAATTGTTTCTGCTCCACATTGGAAAGGGAAGTTAGATGGGTTCCAACCACCACCACTGGGAAGAGGAGAGTGGGTCTGAGAGTCTGAGTCCAATGAGGATTCTAGTTCCTTCCCACAGGGGTGAGGATGAGGTAGGGTCAGTGTCCATTCAGGTGAAAGGAAAAGGAAAGGGACCTTGGTAGGAAGGTTAGGGGATAAGAACACTCTATAGCATTTGCTCCATCAGGTTCTCTGCAACCTGATTGGGTTCTGGGTGTTCTGGAGACGAAAGGGAGAGAATATAACTTTACACACACACACACACACACACACCACACACACACACACACACACACACACTTGCCTAGCGACCACATAGAACTATGGGCTACCTGGAGTGATGGAGAAGGTAAGAAGAGACCTCTTTGTTGTGAAAGAAGAATGGTCCTTCTGCCCAGAGGCCCCATAGATTGTAGGCTATTTTTTACATGTATTGTATTGTGTGTTCAGGTTGCATCTCCAGCACCCAGCACAGAGTCCAGCATGTGGTAGGAGCTTAATGAATGTTAATCGACTGATTGATCCAGCCTCTACTTAAAGACCTCCAAGAAGTGGGGCACCTCCAACTCCCAGGGAAGCCTATTCTACTTTGAAACAGCTCTACTTGTTAGTAAGTTTTTCCTCTCATTCCATCCTAAATTAGCATCTCTAACACTTCTACTCTTGGCTTTTAGTTGCATACTCCAGGACCTGGTAGAACCCAAGTAACCACTTGTCAAATAAAAGAATGGTTAGATAATGGGAGAGAAATGGAAATTAGGAAAAGAAGAGTCATCTGAGGATTTCTGGATACAACTCTGTGCAGGCCTATTAAAGACTAATCTCCCTCTTCAATAAATGCTTGGTGACTTAACCGAACTTTAATTCTCAGGCTGTTTATTTCATCTCACCCTGGGAGCTTGGAGGTACCCCACTTCTTGGAGGTCTTTAAGCAGAAGCTGGATCAATTAGACACCCCCTCTGAGTGACCCAAAGTTACTCCATGGCCACCCCAATCTCCACAGCTCAAAACAAGATCTCTACCCATAAACACAATACAGTCACCCTCTGAAAGACAAGGAGCCAGGTGAATTCAACCTGAGATCTGTACAAAATTGGAATTGGCTCCATCAGTGGATGGTGAAGGTCTTTGAGAGGAGGTTGGATGACTATTGGAGAAGGTATCCATGAGTAGGACAGTAAGTTTAGACTAGAGGAGTTCTGTGTTCCCCATTAACTCTAAAATCCTTTTAAACCAGCCAACTCCGGATTATCTTTGCCCATGTGAGAGTGGGAAGCAGTGTAGACAATATAAAAAAAGATTGTAAAAAAATTATTAACTTAGAGAATTCAGGCATAGTCTTTTTAAGCCCCTCCCCACCAGATTTATGTTCTTTATTATACTTTCCTGAGTAGTCTGTCCAGATTGATGATTTCAATGGGGTGGGAAGCCTTCTACCAACTGAGGATGGCACCTTCCCTACAATACATAGTCTTGAAAAGTTTCCTGGGACACTGAGATGTTACATGACTTGCTCAGGGTCACATATAGTGTATATATTGAAGATAGAATTTGAACCCAGGTCTTCCTGACTCTGAGATCAAGCAATCAACTAAAAAGCCTTTATTAACCACCTATTATATACCAGGCACTAGGCTAAGCTCCGGGGTCACAAAGGCAAAAGCAGTCCCTACTCTTAAGGATCTTGCACTCCAATGGGGGAAAGAACATGCAAATAATTATGTATATACCAGTTATCTGCAGAGCAGACGGAAAGTAATCTGAAAGGGGAAGGCACTAGTGCTTTAGGGGCCTGGAAAACCATCCTTCAGAAGGTAGGACTGGAGGAATCCAGGACAGCTCTCTAATCAACTATGCCACTTTTTTTTTCTTATACCACCTTAATATTCACCAAATTTATGATGGGAGAGTCAGTAGAGAATTTATGAGACTGAGAAATACTAATAATGATGATAATAGCATTTATACAGTGTTTTAAGTTTTACAAAGTGCTTTATGAATATCACCTTACATATGTTTACAACACTGGGAAGTATATGTTATTATTAGATAATTGCTATTACTATCCACATTTTACCAATGAGAAAACTGAGGCAGACAGTGATTAAGTGACTTGCCCAGAGTCATACAGCTAGTAAGAGTCTCAACTCAGGTCTTATTCACTGTACCACCAAGTCAGCTTTTAGTTAACTCCCTCACATTATTCACAAAGTAGATAATCCATAGGAGAATAATCTGGAATTGACTGAAGATATAATTCAAATCAGGAAATGCCCTTCAAACCCCCTCAAAAAAAAAAACAAGCAAACAAGAAAATTCGCCATGCAAGTTCATACATTCCAGAACCCAACCAAGCTTCAGGCAAGAGAGGATGATTAGGATCCCACAGTTTGGGAAGGTCTGGTCCTATAAAATCTTTCTACTCACAGTCATGGGATGTGAAAATCTGGGCTGGTGAAAATCAGGCTGGGCTGGAAGGTGATAGAATGTATCTGCAAGGTTGAAGCAAGAACAAGAAATTTAAGACATCTAACCTGAGGCTCTGACTACTGGTCCATTGATAAGCAGTGCAGCATAATGAAGAGTCCTGAGCATGCAATGATTGCATTCTTCGCTACTAACAAGTTTGTGTATTTGGGCAAGTTATTAAGCAGAGTCAAGGAAACTCAGACCTGGAAGGGATCTCAAGGAGCATCTTGTCTGGCATATACTTGACCTAGAAGACCCTCTATGGTATCTCTAGGGCAGCTAGGTAGCGCAGTGGATAGAGCACTGAGCTTGGAGTCAGGAAGAGTTCAAATCAGACCTCAGACACTTACTAGCTGTGTGACCCTGGGCAAGTCATTTAACCTTGTTTGCCTTGGTTTCCTCATCTGTCAAATGAACTGGAGAAGGAAATGGCAAACCACTCTGCCAAGAAAACCCCAAATGGGGTCACAAAGAGTAGGACATGATTGAAAATGACTGAACAACAACAATAAATAGTATCCCTAACAAATGATGATATATCCTGCCGTTGCATCAAGATCTCCAATAAGGGAGAACCCAGTAACTTCCAAAGCATCTCATTCCATTTTGGCATAGTTTAGATTCTTAGGTGGCACACAGTGCACAGAGTCCTGGAGCTAAAATCCCAAAAATCTGAGTTCAAATTCTGCCTTAGACACTAGCTGAGGGACCCTGGGCAAATCATTTAACCTCTTTGCCTCAGTTTCCTCATACGTAAAATTAGAATAATAATAGCACCTATTTTGCAGATGATAACATATGGATTGAAAATCTTTTAGTGCTGTATACTTTATTATTATTGGAAAACTATTATAATTATTATTACATCACAATAATGTATTCTGTACTATAAGTATTGTTATTATTGGAAATTTTCCCTTTAAATCTGTTTCCTCACTTCTCCCTTCTCACTTCTGCCCTTTGGGATAAAGCAAAACAAGACTAATCATTCTTCTATTTTGCAGTCCTTCAAACATTTGAACACAGATATCATGCCCCACCCATTTTCTCTCCTTGAGGAAAAATATACCCAGTTCCTTCAGCCAATTCTCCTATGGCATAAAATTGAGATCCTCTGATCATTCTGGTATCTGGCCTCTCTGGCTTATGCCAGCTCTCACTCATTGGGAGGTAATGTCTTCAGTTCTGCACACCTTGGTTGGAGAACACTCATCAGCTGGAGGGTGTCCAGAGGCAGTCACCAGGATGGAGATAGGCTAGGAGTCTATGTCACAGAAAAATCAGCTGAAGGAACTGGAGATGAGTACCCAGGCAAACAGAAGACTCAAGAGGGGACATGAGAGCTGTCTTTGAATGTTTGGAGCGCTGATATGTGCAAGAGTGACGTATATCTTTTGGTCTTAGGGGGCAGAATTATGAGTGTTGGGTAGAAATTGCAAAAAGGCCACTTTTAACTGGAAGTCAGGAACAATTTCCTAACAATGAAAGATTTCCAAAGGTGGAATGAGATGTTTTAAGAGGTGGTATGTTCCCTCGCTTGGAAGTTTTCAAGCAGAAACTGGATAATCGCTTATCAGGTATACTCAGTGGTGCGCTAGTAAATGTTTAACAACCAGGTCTCTGAAAAGAAAAAAAGGGCACATAACACACATTTGAGTTTTCTGTTCATGTATGGGTTGGACTATATAGCCATTTGGGTCCCTTTCAGCCCTAAGATTCTGTGATTCTATGTCCTTCATAAACTGCACTGCCCACAACTCAACACAATACCCCTCCTATGGTCTCCTCAGAGGAGAGGAGAGTAGGACTATGACATCTACTTCTCAAAACTGTGTCCTGCTTGATGCAACCTGAGATCCCATTGGCTTTCATGGCTGCTGCTCGTGGTCCATAAAGTCCCCACATCTTTCTCCCTCCATAGAAGCTATCTAGCCATACTTTCTGCTATCTTAAATTTGAGAATTTATATTTTTTCATCTAAGGATAAGACTTCCCATTGATGTCTATTCAGTCCCGTCCTATAACTTCAGCCCAAATTCCCTTTGTTGAATCCAATTGATAAAATGGGGATAATATGTGATGCCTACCTCAAAGCATTATTGTGAGGAGAGACAAAATAACTTCTATTTGATAAGCTTCACTTCTGTCTGTCTCAGTTTCCCTGTGTCTAAAATGGGAATGATAATAGCGTCTACCACCCAACATTGTTGTAAGGATCGAATGAGATAGCATTAGTAGTGTACTTTGCAAACTTTAAAGCAATATATAAATAGTAAAAGCACAATATAATGCTAGCTGTTGTTATTGTTGTTGTTGTTGTTGTTACACAACTCTAAAATGCTCTGTAAATGTAAAGTCTTATTATTCACTGGGCAAACATCTTCCCTTCCCAATGAGATCATAGCAGCTGCCCCCTTTTTTTTTATTTCTCTCTTCTCATTCTACTCTCTCTCTCTCTCTCTCTCTCTCTCTCTCTCTCTCTCTCAGTCCTGTCTCCTGTTTTCTCTTTCCTCTTTGTTCTCTCTCTTCTCTCCCACCTCTCTTCTTTCTTTTCTTTCTATCCATCTTGTCTCTATTTTCTCTCTTTTCTTCCTTCTCATCCTTCTCTCCTATCCTTCTACCCCCTTCTCTCTTCCTCTTTTTTCTTTCAGCCCCATTTCTCCTTTTCTCTTTTCTGTTTTATCTTTTCCCTCCTCTCCCTTTTCTCTCTTCCTCTCTTTCCTTCTGTCTCCCTCTCTTCCCTTATCTCCTCTTCTTCTCTCTCCCACTCCCCCAGTGCCCTAACTCAGAAAGGTCTCATTTCTAGGTTAGCAAGTTCTCTCAATTGCTACTTCCCTTCTCTGAATCCACTGCTATTGGGCCACAGCCCAGAGCCTTTGTATTGGCAGCTGAGATCCAGAAGAAGCCTGCAGAGGAAGCTTCTGCTTGTGATTTATGGTTCCCTCCCTGCCATTAGTGCTAGCCCCCAAACTGCATTACTTAACTTTTATTTGCATCGAATAATAATTCATTGTGCCTTGGCTAGTTGCAAATTATCACAATCAGACTTGAGGCAAGATTAAATTTCATCAACAGTTGGTTACTCACATAGATTATAGCATCATCTACATAGTAATGGTGGGTGTAGAAGGACAAGGGGGAAGATAGAACAATGATGGAAGGTACAACTAGCTCATTCTGGACTTCAGAAGGATCCTCTCTTGTCCGGCTGCCTGTTTGCTTATGTTTACAGATCCAGCCTGTAGTCAAATTGGGCACAGAACCACATTCAGGACCATGGAGACTGGGCAAGTTTCTCTGTCTCCGTGTTTCTGTCTCTCTGTCTCTCTGCCTCTGTCATTCTGCCTGTCTCTGTCTCTGTCTGTCCCTGTCTCTCAGTCTCTCTCTCTCTCTCTCTCTCTCTTCTCTCTCTCTCTCTCTCTCTCTCTCTCTCTCTCTTTCTCTCTATCTCTTTCCTGTTTTATAAAATGAAGGAGTTGGAAAGATAATATTTAAAGCCGCTTCCTGGTCTGACATTCACTGTTCTCTGTCCCTCCCACTTCTGACATTCTCTGTTCTAAGATCCCTCCCAGTATTAATGCTCTATGGTATCTCCCAGCTCTAAAATCCTATGCTCTAAGGTCCCATCTAGCTCTGGTGTTTTGTATTCTAAAGAACCTTCCAGCTCTGAAATTCTATATTTTAAGAGCTATTCCAGTTTTAACACTCTATATTCTAAGGTCTCTCCAACTGTGATATTCTCTGTTCTAAGATCCTTTCCAATTCTAACATTCTGTATTCTAATGGCCTTTCCAGCTCTGACATTCTATGTTCTATCTTAAAATCCTTTCCACTTCTCATGTTCTATGTTCTAAGGGCTTCTGATATCACATGTTCTAAGGTCCCTTCCACTTCTCACATACTATTTTCCTTTTTTTTTTTTTGGCTAGACACAGCTAATAAGTGCCAAGTGTCTGAGGCCAGATTTGAACTCATGTCCTCCTGACTTCAGGGCCGGTGCTCTATCCACTGTGTTGCCTAGCTGCCCCATACACTATATTCTCAGGTCCCTTCCAGTTCTCACATTCTATGTTCTAAGGGGCCTTCCAATTCTGACATCCCATGGTCTAGTGCATAATATGCTATAATGTTAATCATTACAGCTGCTCTTAGTATTATAACAAGGGGTAGCACAACAAATGGTTGGAGATGACCTTGGTGTCAGGAGTCCCTGGAGGACATTCTGGCTGTGTGGTGCTTGAAGATGAGGAAATTGAAGTTCAGAGGACTTGCCCAGGACAATACAGCAGGAAGTATCAGAGCTGGGGTTTCCAACAACTGGGCAAGTCCAGCTTCCTCCTACCCCCCACTCCCAAGCTAATCAACATTTGAGGAATATCCTGGAGATAGGTATAACATCTAAATTATCTCCACTTGACTATGCCACCCTCCATGACATAAGTGTGGAGGTGGGAAAGGCCTGAGAACATAGAATATCTTCTATATGACCTTTCATTATCCTTTTACCTCAGTAGAATTCATGTATAGGGGGTCCTACATTGCTCAGTCAACTAACACACAGTTTGCAAAGGCTCACCATAAATGGGAAGGCAGAGCTATATAATGGATAAAGAGCTAGGCTGGGCTCTGGAAAGACTTGGGTTCAGGTCATGCATCAGACCCATCCTGGCTGTGTGACCCTGGACAAGTCATCAATACACTAAGTGGCTCTGTAAGATTGTAAACTGCAGAGCAGGCACCTATCTGCATTGGTAAAAGGTGTTTGTTCACTTGGGTGAGATTAAAGATCCAGTCTTCATCCCACTAGGTGCTGGGCACCAAGGATGGTGCCCTTTCAACAATGTCAGGTCACATTTCCCAAGTACCTGGTGCCAAGAGGAAAGGACCACAGAGGAAAGAGAGGGATCCCTCCCATCAGGGAGCTAGGGTCTACTAGCTGAGGAAGGCGAAGCCCCAAGAATAGGAGCTAGGAGAATCAATGACCCTCCCCTGCTCTTGAACCTATCATAATCCCAGGTGGCAG